TCGTTGGATAAAAAGGGGGGGGGGGAGGCAAGCATGCGTCATTTCAAGCATTTAGATCTATTTTTTGCGGCAGCAACACACCCACCGCCCGTCCACTGAATGACGTTTCCTTTGCACACGTCGGGTCGAGTCCATCGGCTCTCGACGAGCCGTTTATCAGCAAGTCGGCAGTAGTCATCATCCAACCAACGCCCTTGCTCGCATCCCAAACATTGTATGTACGTGTATACATGAACGCCGCTGAGTTGAAAAGACCGAGACAGAAAAAAAAAAAAAAACAGACGCTAGTATAATACGCCCCGTTTTATGAAACCCAAACAGGCCGTCTACAAGATGCATCTATCAGCCTGCGTGTTTACGCGCCACCGCAGCATCATGAACCAAGTGCATCTATCGACAAGTAGCATGCATGCATGGGAGGCCCCCCGAGCAAACAGAAAAACCAACGCCACCAATGCCTGGAGGCCCCTCACACCCTGAGCCGAGTGACCTTGCCGTCGTCGACGCGCAGGACGAGGTCGGGGCGGCGCAAGTGCGCGCCCCCGGGCTCGTGGGGGTGGGAGTGGGAGTGGGAGATGGCGACGACGGTGCAGTCGGCAAAGGCGTCGTCCATGAGGCGGTGCATGAGCGCGGCCGTGTCGGCGTCCATGGCGCTCGTGGCCTCGTCGACTAGCAGGATCTTGCTGCCGCTGCGGCGCTGGTGCAAGATGGCGCGCGCGAGGGCGAGCAGCTGCTTCTGGCCGTGGGAGAAGCCCATGTCTGCCAGGGGCGCGTCGAGCCCGCCGTGGGCGTCGACGTGCTCTTTGAGCCGCGTGCGCGAGAGCACCTCGGCGATGAGGGAGTCGGAGTCGGAGTCGCCGTCGCGCGTGGCCGTGCCGGTGCCGGGCGGCGCCATGTTGTCGCGCAGGGTGCCGGGGAGCTCGACCATGTCTTGGGGGATGGTGGTGATGAGGCACCGCAGCGCCTGTCGTGGGATCTGGGACAGCTCCACGCCGTCGATGGTGATGACGCCCTTGTAGTTGAGGAAGTTGAGCATGGTGAGCAGGAGGGAGCTTTTGCCGCTGCGGGACGCATCGTCAGTTCACGTCGTCAGTTTGAAAGAGGGGGGGGCCGACGTACCTCCCCGTGCGCCCGACTACGACAACCTTTTGCCCCGGCTTAATGTCCAGGCAGACGTTGTCGAGGACCGCGGTCGACGAGTCCAGCGAGCTATGCCGGCGAGCGAGGATGCGAGGTTAGCGCGAGGGCGGCTCGGGACGTCTGGGAGTGAGAGAGCGCTCACCTGTACGAGGCCGTGACGCCAACCATGGCGATGGCTCCCCGTTTCAAAAAGTCGCGCGGCAGCTCTCGGGGGGCGCCCGCGCCGGCGTCGTCCTCGCCCGGCGTCGTCTCGGCAAACGACTTGATGCGTGCGATGGCGCCCAGCGACGTCTCCGTGTCGATCCACGTGTTGAGCAGCGTCAGGATCGAGTCGCCGAACTGGATCAGCGTCAGCAGCGAGAGCCCCATGGCGTTCTGCGACGTGGTGCCCCGGAAGCACAGCGCCACCGACACCAGCACCGTGGCCACGCCGAGCACGCACAGCTCCGACACGACCCCGAGCCACCGCTGGATGCAGAACATGTAGTAGAACGGCCTTTGCGAGTCGTCCAGCAGCTGCCGGCTGCGCGAGAGACACTCGCTATCCCACCCGAAGCTTCGGATGTGCATCAGCCCGGCGCTGATTTCGGAGAACTGCGTGTACAGGGGCGTCTTGGCCTCCAAGTCCATGTGCCGCATCTGCCGCGACGTCCGTAGGTAAAAGTACTGGATGACGTAGATGCAGACGAGGATGAAGGGTATCATGACGGACATGTAGGCGGCGCCGGCGGCAATGATGCCGATGTCTGTAATCAACAAGAAAAAGGCTGAAGAGGAAAAAGACAAGATTAGAACAACGGTCTAGCAGCGTGACCTTGAAGAAGATCAAGGTTGATTTTGCGTAAAAGCGTAGGCTTACAATACAGAAGGCGAAAAAACGCCAGCGGCAGCTCCTGGCTGATAAGACTCATGTCCTGGCTGAACCTGCGCAACGGTTAACAAAACACGTTCCGTCGCACACACCCGGATGTCGACGCTTACAGGTTGAGAAGAGATCCGTTGCTGGTCGAAGACAGAAACGACAGCGTCGACCTGGTCGTGAAATCGTCAGCAAAGCTGTCACAGGGAGCGCTGCGCATGTTGTACGCGTCGTATTACCCCATGACTTTGTCCAAGAGCACACGGTGCAAGTTCTCGGAGCTGCTGGGCACGATTTTGAGATAGTACAAGCTGCCACGGTGTGTTAGAGCATCCGATCGCGTCTCTGGCCTTTTTCGTTTTTCTTATATACGTTACACACCTCAGCGTTATACCGGCGGCCGTAAAGCTGGAAAATCCAAACAAAATGTACCCAACCAGGTACACCTTGTTATTCGGCGCAACGTCGAGCCAGATTCGAAGAAAGATCTCTGCGGCATTCGCACCCCCCGTTAGTTTCGATCATCATCAGCCGGGGGGGCACGGGCACCCGGGGCCCAGGACTCACCTGGCAGTCTCTCGGCGACGGCAACAAAGATGACAGTCAGCAACCACATGGCCCAGAGCCACTTCGCCGTTGACTTGAGGTAGAACGAGTAGAGGCCGAGGTCGCCTTGCCGGCGGATCAGCAGCTCGCTGTTTGCACCGGCGCCAACTTCCTTGCCCGCCCCTTGGGCCTCCTCTGCGGCGGCGGCCGCCGCCTTCTCCTCCTCCCCGACCTTGTCGCCGGCTCGGGGGGACAGCAGCGCTGCCACGTCATCCGGGCACTGCTCGACGGCTGCCGGCCCCGTGACGGACTTGATTGACCCCTCGTCGCTGATGACCAGCGTTTGGTCAGCCGACTTGATGTATTCGGCTTTGGGCAAGGGGAGAAAAGGGAAAGACAGTTAGCCGAGACTGGCGAAACATCCACACACCATCCGGACGCCGGGGGCAGGACAATACCAGAGTGAATCGTCATGATGACGGTGCTGCCAAGACGCTTCAGCAAGCCGCCCGGTGCGAAGAGGCGAGAAAACACGGCATCTGCCGTATGGCGATCCAGGGCATTTAGCACATTGTCCAGGACGAGCAGAGGAGCCTGCGAGTAGACGGCTCGCGCGAGGGCCTGCCAAAGACAAAAAGGTCGTGTTAGATGGGGGATGGAGGATGGAAAAAGAGGGGGGGGGAAACGGGGAAAGACTAGACGGGAGTCGTTACAATTCTCTGCTTCTGCCCACCACTCAAGTTGGAGCCGTTGTCTCCGGACATGGTTTGGTCGCCGTTAGGGAACTGCTGCAAGTCGTCGGCGAGGAGGCAGGCGTCGACGACGGTTTTGTACCAGTCCTTGTCGTAGCCGTGGTGGCCCGTGATGTTGGCCCGGATGGGCACGTTGTTGAGCCACGGCGTCTGGTCGCAGTAGGCAATCTGTTGCGTCTCAACGTAGACGTGGCCGTGGGTGAGGCCGGCCTCGCCAATGATAGCCCTCAGCAGCGTCGACTTGCCGCAGCCGGTGCGGCCAAGGACCACGGCCAGCGTGGAGCGCGCGACAGACACGTTGACGCTCTTGAGCAGCGGCTGCTTGCCCGGCGCCGCGGCAATGGACGCGTTGGCCAGGACGACGGACACGCGTGTCTGCGGCGCGCCCAGCTCGAGCGCGGGCTTGTCGACGGGCGAGACGCAGTGGAAGGCCGCGTCCTTCTCGGGCCCGTAGCCGCCGGGCGCGACGAGGGCGTTTGTGCTCTGGCGTCGGTCCTGCCGCTCCTCGAGCAGGAGGTAGGTCTGGATGCGCTGGAAGCACCCCAGCGTCGAGACGAAGATGGGGTAGCACAGCATGGCGCGGGCCATGGACAGCGACGTGATGACGACAATGGCCAGCGCCGTAAACGTCTCTGACGCCTTCAGGCCGCTCGAGAAGGTCGTCCAGAGAATGGCGGCCGTCATGACGATGGTCGGCGTGATCTGGTAGCACAGCATGACTGCATACGCGGCGAGTCTTTAGCGTGCGCTCGAGCTGGTTCCAACGGGCCCGAGAGCTCGAGAGCTCTCCGGGGGGGGAGCGGCAAACGGGCCGAGGGCACGAACCTGAGGCGCTCATGATGACTTCCAGGACCCGGAATCTCTTGGAGCACTGCATCTCCGTCTCGCGGAGTCCCTGGACCAGGTCGGCCACGACAGGCTTCAGGCCAATCATTTTGATATTCTTGATTTGCTGGAGCATGCTGGACGTGACCGACACCCGATTCTGGACCTCCCTGTTCCAGGCGATGCGTGCCGGCGCCATTCGCCTGCCAATCTCGTACGTGGCGATTGTCGAAGCTGCGACGGTTTACAAGTCAATCTCATGGACGCCCCCTTGAAGAGAAGGGGGGTGGGGGGTTGAGGGGAAGAACAGGGGAAAGGACAGAGCCGCGCTGGAACCGCAACTAACCGATTGCCGGAAACACAATGAGAAAGGATGCCTTGCCGAGGATTGTCGTAATCAGGTAGATGCCCAGCCCGACCTCGATGATGCTGGCCAGGATGTCGTGGAACTTGCGGAGGCCGAGAGAAATGCCCTCGACATCGGTGCTCATCAAGGTCGCGGCGGCGAGTTCTCTGGCATTGCGCTGGTCTATGGCCAGAGTCTTTTTGAATATCTCGGACACGAGCACCCCGCGGAGCAGGGTAACCAGCCTATTGTTGAGGTGGTTGTAGCTGGCGCCGGTGACCTATGCTCTCGCCGTGAGTAAGCCGCGGATCCGTCCAAGGTTGCGTGAGAGGAGACGCCGGCGCTCGAGCTGGATGGAGCCCGGGGGGAGGGGGGGGATCAGAACAGTGGCCCCGATGAGGCCGTTTCTGACGCTGACCGAAGGGTCGTCCTGGCCAAGGAAGCCGACGATGCGCCGCAGCAACAGGGGCTGGCTGAAGGTGAAGGCGGTATACAGCAGGCGCGGGACGATGACGGCGAGAAAGGGGCCGAGGAGGGTCAGGAGCGCGGATCGAAGCAGCGCGTAGGACGAGTGCTTATCTGGCCAGGTCAGCGTCGCGGCGACAACAAGCAGGGCGGGCAGAGGCGACAAGACGGCTCACACTTTGCCCAGGTGGGCTCGAAGCGGGCGGAGAGGTGCTGGGCGGAAAAGTCGTCGCCCAGGCAGCCCAGGTCGTCGATGCGCAGGACGGTCCTGAAGCCGAGGAGAAAGGTCGAGTTGAGCCACAGGAACAGCGAGCGGTTCCAGAAGCCGCTGGTGGCCTCCTTGCTCAGGGACCTCCGCAGGGCCAGGTCCTGGATGTGCGTGCGCTTGGAGAACTCCTGCAGCAGCACGAGGGCCAGCTTGGCGGCGGCGGCGGCGGCGGAGAGGGCGCCGACGGCGTGGAGGTGCGGGCGGAGGAAGAAGGAGCGAGACTTGACGATGTCGAGGAGGGCCGTCAGGCTGAGGTAGAGGCTGATGAGGGCCGAGGAGCGGAACGAGTGGCGGTGCTCGAGGCCGACGGCGGCCACGATGCACAGCGTGCTGATGCACACGAGGGAGAAGCCGACGAGCGAGGCATCGGAGCGCGGCGCCGGCAGGCAGCTCCAGAGACTGAGCGTGGCGATCTGGAGGCCGAGGAGGAGGGTCAAGACTGCCTGGTGGTTTTGCGACGTGTGAGCGGACTGCGGCGAAGCGAGGAAGGGGACGTGTAGGTTTTTTTTTTGGTCGTGCACGTGTGCAACGACAAGATCAAAAAAACAATGCGAGAAAACACCACACCGAGCTGGGCAGGGCTGCTGCTGCTGCTAGCGGGAGCGGGAGGGCTGATGGGTTGGTTGATGGGTTGATGGGTTGACGGGTTGACGGGTTGATGGGTTGATGGGTTGACGATGGTTGACGATGGTTGACGATGGTTGATGACGGGTTGTCGCGGCGTTGATGGGTGCGCCACGTTGGGCAACTTACAAGCTTGGCCCATAACAGGAGACTGCTCGAGACATAGATGGGGGACTTGAAGTAGTGCAGGATATAAAAGGGCGACACGAGAATGCAAAGGCTTGTGGGAAGAATAGTCAAAACGGCATGCTCGAAAAGCAGGGTGAAGTCAAAGTGAGAGGCCAGCTGCGGCCCAAACGTGTCGTCGTCTGCTCCCTGGCGTCCGGCTCCGGCTCCGGCTCCAACTCCAACGCCGACTCCAACTCCAACTGCAACGGCCCTAGACACGAGGTCCATGGCTCTGCTCTGGAGCTGGGCTGGGCCGGGCTGGGCTGGGCTGAGCTGGACGCTGGACGCTGGACGCTGGACGCTGGACGGGACTGGCCTGGACTGGAACTGGTGGACTAGGCCGGGCTGGGCCGGGCTGGGCAGGGCAGGGCAGGGCAGGGCCGGGCAGCAGGGCTGGAATCGGGACGAGGAAAGGCAAAGGTAATTTACAAGACTTCGAAACGAAGCGGACGAAGAGACGGGAAGAGGGACTGGCGACTACATAGCGTGTGGAAGCTACAACGTATTTACCAACCAACTAACCAACCAACCAACCAACCAACCAACCGACCGACCAACCAACCGACCAACCACTCCGTGACCACGACTGATAAACTGCTGCCGCTACTCCGTACACACACGCACGCGAACAAGTCGATGCGACCCCCGGATCTGGGAAGCGGGCTTGCGCACCCCCCAAACCAGGCAGGTCGACGGCTCGACGCGGGCGATTTCGAGGGCCTCGGACAGCAGCTCGTGGCTCAGAAATGCTTCGACTCCACTTGGGCCAGTGTAAATATGCACCTTGCCGATTGGAGTTTGCCGTCTCGTTGCGAGGTAGCATCGGCGGGGGAGTCGTGCAAGGACGGGCAAGACAAGACCAAGACCAGGACCGACTGTTGGCTGGGCTTGAGCCAACAAGACGAGAGGCCGACCGGGCGAGACGGACAAGACGAGACAACGTTGCACCACACCGGCACGCCGAGGTCAGGTCACTTGGGGGACGTGTGCCCAGAATGATGAAATTGCATGTTTGATCTTGTTGAGCTTTTTTTTTTTTAAGGAAATTGGTTCATGCTGCTAATCCTATTCTCGCCCGTAGAGCGTGCCAACGTTGCCCTCACCCCCCCCCCCTTTTCCCTCCCCGTGGCGAGGTTGTGTAGAAGAGTAATTGTTTGACCCAAGACATGTCTATGCTCGTCCAACCATGTGCTTGCCCCTCTTGTTTTTTTTTTCTGGAGCTTACTCTGCTACACGGACGACCAGGTCCTCGACGTCCCTCTTTTCCTTCTGGCGGTAGCGCAGAATGGCGCTGACGGCGTAACTCTCTGGTGCGGCGGCGCTGCTCTCTGTGGCCACCTCGGAGACTGTGCGTCGGGGCCAAATGGGACATGGTTAGAAGACGAAGAATTCAGGATGGAAAAAAAAAAAATTGGAAAAAAAAATCAACAGTGGAAGACGGGCGAGCAAATCAAAATTCGGCAGGGCAAAACCGTCGGGTTAAATGTAGATCATACCAGGTCTGGCAGAGACAACTGCGGCACCGAGGAAGAGCAGGGCAGCCGGGATAAAGGTCGAGGGGAAGAGCATTGTGGCGTTTTTTTTTTCTTCAAGCGTTGCAACGCAAACGAGACGTTTGGTACGCGGCGTGATGATAGAAATTCTAAAAGAAGGAAAGTGAAAGCAAGGAACTGTGAGAAAGGCGACGAGGCTTGTACGATGAAGGAGTTGGACATGATGGAAGTGCCGAGGACGGGCTTCTCTTATATTGCGAAGCTGCTCGAGCACCAAGCGGTATGGTCGGCGCACCGACGGGTCGATTCTGCGCGGCCCCACTCAGCCACAAACACACACCCTTTTGGTGCATCTGGGAGCCGAGGAAATGGCTTGATGGATGGAGCGGAGGCGAGGAGGGCCGGCAGGGACGGGGGACGAGGGACGAGGGACGGGGGACGACGAGGGACACCAAGCCAAGGGACACGAGGGACCGAGGGACACGGGACACGATGGACACGATGGACACCGATGGACACGAAGCGACGAGGGATTAAGGATTAAGGATTGGCGATTAGGGATTTGGGATTTGGGATTTGGGATCTGGGATCTGGGATCTGGGAGCTGTCGCGGACGGAGCACGCACGGAGAACGGACCAGACAGGACAGGACGAAAACGATGGATGGAGCAGACTCCGCTGGGGAAGGGGCGTTGCCCGCGGGGACCGGGGGGTGGGGTCTGTGCTTAGCGCGCATCATCCGTCATCCATCATCCCAGGTGCCACTTTGGGAAAGGTTTGGCGGCCGCGGCGGCGCACGCCGTCATGCTGCCCACGCGTCGATGCTCGTCCGAGTCGTGAGTGGCAAACAATATCTAGATGGCCAGCCGGCGGCGCACACGAAAAGTTAGTCTCCGGTTATGCTGTACGGAGACGCAAGGACGGAGCACCACATGACGCTATCGCTTCTAACCTATCCCAGGGATTGAGCCCCGGGCAAGACGGAAGCGACTCTGCGCACCTCGGCGCCCGCCAACGATCCTGCAACTGCCACTGGCGTCGAAAAGAACTCTTCTCTTTTGAATTTTTTTTTTTTTGTTTTTGTTTTTCCTCCCTGGTTGCTTTCTTCCTTTCCCTCTTTTTCCTGGGATTTGTTCGTCATCCTCCTGGGCCCCACTGACCGCCGACATGGCCTCGATTCGCTACGAGCGCCTGCGGGCGACGGCCAAGCCCGAGCCCGAACCGGCCGACGACGACGAAGACAACTGCGGAAACAAGATGATGGCGATGACCACGGCGACGACGGAACGCAAGCCCATCTGGACGCGGAGACAGGCGACGCTGGCATTTGTGGGCAATGCCATGCTGTTGATAGCGTCGATATTCTTGTTATCCGCGGCAGCTGGCAGGAAGCCGTCCCCTTCCCACCTGGAATGCGCCCAAATGGTCTCACCGTACTGTGCGTCTGTGCCGTGATGCTACGATGCCATGTGTCTTGGCCTTGGCCTGCCGCTGACTGGTCTCGCTTCGTCCTGCAGCGCCCATGTGGGAAGCCGTGGAGTTTTGGGAGGGCAACTTTGCCAACGAATTCAACTCGTCCACAAAGTACCGCGGACCGCCGACGCTGGAGCGGGAGCGCGCATGGAACGACCTCTGGCGCTGTGAGTGAAAAAAAAAAAAAAAAAAAAATGCCATGTGTCTTGGCCTTGGCCTGCCGCTGACTGGTCTCGCTTCGTCCTGCAGCGCCCATGTGGGAAGCCGTGGAGTTTTGGGAGGGCAACTTTGCCAACGAATTCAACTCGTCCACAAAGTACCGCGGACCGCCGACGCTGGAGCGGGAGCGCGCATGGAACGACCTCTGGCGCTGTGAGTGAAAAAAAAAAAAAAGAAAGAAACAAAGAAAAAAGAGAGCAACCAGGACTGACTGCCGCCTACGTGCCAACGGTCCCCAGATCACCTCATCCCCGTCGACGCCGCGGGCGTGGCGGCCCTGAACCAGACTCGAGCCGGCACGCACCCCCAGGTCAAGGGCAGCGACCCGGCCAAACCGCAGTACGGTGCCACCATCGAGGTCTTTCACCAACTGCACTGCCTGGTAAGCCTGCACCTGCACCTGCACCTGCCCCTGCCCCTGCACCCGCCCCTGCACTGCACCTGCACCTGCACCTGCCACGCCGCACTGCCGCCGCTGGTAGTATACCACCACAGCCACCAGCTTACACCCCCCACCACCCTCCAGAACGTCCTGCGCCAGTACTCGTGGCCGCTCGACATGTTCGACCCGTCCTGGGGCGCCGACCTCTACCCTTCCATGCTGCGGGACGCCGCCACGGGGCGCACCCACGTCGATCACTGCATCGAAGCCCTCCGACTGTCGCTCATGTGCGCCGGTGACATCACCCCCGTGCTCTTCCTGCGCGACGCCGCGAGCCCCCTCGGCGTGAGGGCCGACTTCAACGTCCATCACAAGTGTCGCGCCTTTGACAAGATTGTCGCCCACGTCAAGGCGAACGGCGTCGAGCTGGACGTCTAGGGATGGAAAGACGGGGTGGATGGAGTGACAAGGAATACGTGAGAGAATTAAAAAATAACAAAGAAATACATGACAACATGACAACCTTGTATTCTCTCCTATCCTTGATTCCTTTTTTTCCTTTTCACCCCGTCCTCGCCGACTTGACCTGTCGTGTCGCACATCCCGGGCGGCAACAAGACAACGACAACTCGAGCAAAGCGCCGAAAGCGTCACTGCATGCACGCACCGCACCCACGTGCGTTTCGTTTCAGACTGGGGCAGAACATTTCATCTAAACGGACCCAGTTCACTTTCTCGACCGAGTCCCTGGCCCGTGGCTGTGGCTGCTTCATCCTAAGCCTAAGCCGCGCCGCACCCTGAGCCCTGGGCTGCCCTGCCCGCGGGCAAGGATTGGCCTCGCGGCGCCGGACACGTCATGTGACCAGCCAGAATGCGTCGCAGGCACAAACATGTCGCGTCGGCCACGCCTATTTTTCATTCTCCCGCGCACATTGTCCACCGCGCGGCTCGTCCGAGACTATCAGTTGCACGTCTTTGTTCTTGCTCGCCTCGCCGAGCGTCGAAACGTCCAGTCGCCCCAACTGTCTCACCGCCGGTCGGATCGTCATTTTTGCATCGTGGCCACGATTGTCTCTGGTGCCCCATGGCCCATGGGTGGGTGGCTGTTGCGCTGCCCTGCCGCGCAATACCATCGTTTGCGGCAGCCAGCTCCATGTGCTCGATATCTCGGACCTCGCCAATTCGAACTACCGACTGATCGTGCACGAGACGAGGGCAACGGGAAATCGACAGGTCTTGTGCTCCAAAGTGAACAAGTGAAGCTTGCGCCAGAGCGGCTGTATGTTCTTGGAATTGTCAAGGGCGCGGGATTTTGCCAAGAGCACAGAGGGCGGAAGTAACAAAGGCAGCCCACTCCATCGTTGCATGCGTTTCTCTGTCTGTCCGACTGGGGCCGAGCCGAATCACGACGAGATCCGTCTAGTCTATGGCTTTCATGCTGATGGTTGACGGTAGCGGAAGTGGTGTTTCCCTGTACTTCTCCTGCACGGTTGTGCCCGGGACGATGACGACAATTTACGGTCGAGGGTGCTGATGCCTGCCTTGACGTGGACGAGCTGCTGATTCCTTGAAGTAAAAAACCCAAAGAAGAAAAAGGAGAAGAGAAACAGTTATGCAGTATACATGCCAGTAGTGAAATGGTGACCGTGGGACGTCGTCGGTGGCGCCATCACCAGCCTTGCCTGTAACCCAACCAAAATTCAGTGGGCAGATTACTTGAGGCCCCTATTATTGCTGCAAATATCAACTGGAAACTACGTAGCAGTATCACTGGTGTTGCAAGGCCTACAAGTGGCCTTCTTGAAATGACCGCGTATAATAGGCCCACGTGGTCACGGCGACACAGACTGCTCCCGCTCGGGGCGGCTCTTTCAGGACTCAACGATCTCGGAGAAGCGGGCGGGCACGAATTGCAAGAAAACCGGCCAGCTTTCGAAGCCAGTCTCATCGTGCCAGCCCGTGGATGGGGTGCGAGCACAGGACGAAAGCGCCGCCGCGGCCGGCCATCTCGTCGTCCAAGTGTTACTCGACGGCCATATATAACCCGCCATGCTCTGCCAAACCCACCCTCGCAGCGTGCTGGATGCTTTCCCATCGAGGCCGCCGTGGCGTACAAGTCGCCCGCGGGAGAAGAACCCGGGTCCTCCGCCACCTCGACGTGTATGTCGTCTACGACGGATTTGAGGGCCAGCAAAAGCCTCCTGCGGCGCTGAAGCACGGAAGCCAAGTGCGGCCCTCGAAAAAACACGGTACGACTCGCGTGAAGCAGGACTCGACAAGGATTCGCGGCTGCGCCTTGTTTTGGAATTCCCTGTGCCGTCTCAGCATAGTTGCTTCGCTGTCGCGAATCAAAACTGGCCAATCCGTGGTGTCATCTTCCCAAGCAGGCACGCGAGCACGCCGAATCGCCTCGGCGCGAGGACTTTGTTGGCCTCCATCGCCAACACTGTGGGCGGGAGGCCGTGGCGACGAGGTTGAAGCTGGCTGGATTCGCACGGGTCCGTCACGCCACGACATGGTGGTGCGCACGAGCTGGGTGGCAAACGTGGGCAGATAGGACTGCAACACTGCGTTATCAGTACGGAGTAGGGTTTCGCGGTGCCTTCCTTGGCGGCTTGGATGGAACCGACGGAGGGCAGCTTGTTTGACGTCGCATCCTTCTTGGCCCCTGGTGGCAGACGATGCGTCTAGATGAAGGCTCCGCTGCGGGCATCCACCCACCCACCCATCCATCCATCCATCATCCATCCATCCATCACCCATCCGCCGCATTGCATGCTGAACGGTGGACCGGTGCCACTGCTGCGCGTGCAGGCCGTGTCACCCTCTTGTCTGTCTTGGTCTCACCTTTTTTGGGGGCCGGTCGACGGTCGTCCATCAATCAGTCAAATCGGTTGACGCTCTCCGGCCTCCTTAACCGCCGCTGCTGCTGTGCTGCTGCTGCTGCTGCTGCTGCTGCCGCCGCCGCCGGCGTGGGGGCCAGCACCAGCACTGCCAGCTGCAAAAGTTCCCAACCCGCCACGCCTTCTGCTTGACAGGACGGGGCACAGTGGGCACAGTGGGCGAGCGGGCCCCGACTCCTCCTCCATCCATCATCCATGATCCGGCTTCCCCCACACGACGCACTACCACCTGGCTGCCCTAGTTCCACGTCCTCGGTCCTTCTGGCTCGGCAGTTGAGCCGTGAGCCGTCTCGTCCCAGGCGCCAGGTGCCCAGCGCCGCCCGGTCGCGGATGCCGCGCCCCGTCCAGCGCTCCCGGCCACCCCCGTCGCCGTCGCCATCGCCATCGCCATCGCCATCGCCATCGCCATCGCCAGACAGCCACGATGCGTGAGGCTGGGGGACCGTTGCCGACGCCAAGGTCCGTCGGAACGCACGACAACAAGCGCGTGTGCAAGAGGATTTCCTCTGATCCAGTTTGAATTCCCACGTGCAACCGCAGAGGGCACCCCGTGTATTTATTGTCTGATCAAAAAGGAGTAACCGTGACGTAGCCCCGTTCCATCCGTCGTCCGTCGTGCGTCCTGTCATCCTCATCCTCCTCCTCCTCATCCTCACCGCCCGCTGCCGTGAAACGTCGCCGGCGGCCCAGCCCAGCCCAGCCCGGCACTTGGCCGACTTGCTCGTGCGACTCTGAGCCACCGAGTCTGGGCACTCGCCCGCCCGCCCGCCCCAGTGCCCTGCTCTCTTCCTTTTCCCCGATTCTCGCCATGCTCCCCTGGTGCCTCTGACGCGAGACCACGGCAACGGCGGCATGGTGGGAGTGTAGCCTGCCTGCCTTGTGGACGGGCCAAACCCAGTCGAGCCGTTGCGATGTATAAAAAAAAGGGGGGAGGAAAAAGAAAAGGAAAAGAAGCCAAGCACACCTACACACACACACACACACACACACACACACACACACAAACCCAAGAAACTAGTTATAGAATGCAGCAAAATTCATGCGTCTCTCTGTCAATGAATTCCGCTGCTTCGTCGGCGTCCAGAGCAGCAGCAGCAGCAGCGTCGACGGGACTGGCATCTCGCTCTGCCGGCGGCGGCGCTCCCGCGTGCGCCCCCCTCCCCTGCGGCAAAGTGAGCCAAGGAATCTCGCGTAGCTTCGCCGGGGCCTCGGGCCAGCACGACAGGTGCTGGACCAGCTTGGCCATGGCAAAGGTAGAGCGGTAGTCCTCAATCAGCTGGCGTAGGCGGTCCCTGGTGGCGCCGTCGTCGGTGACGCACCACGCGGCGACAATGGCCTGGGGCACGTGGTGCGCGGCCAGGGGGCGCTCCTGCTTGGCCCTCTCGGCGAGGACGACGGCGTCGGCGCAGAAGATGGAGCGCTGGCTGACGAGCAGGATGTTGCCGGGGCTGAAGGCGCGCAGGAGGGCGTTGAGCGTGATGCCGATGGCGATGAAGAGCCCGTGCCGCTCGTTGCAGATGATGCCGTCGTAGGCGTTCCAGCACGACGTCTCGCGGTTGGCGCTGATGAAGACCTTGACCTGCAGGTACTGGTCGAGGATGTAGCTGTAGATCCAGCGCATCTGCTCCTTGTTCTCGCGCGGGTGCCGGATGAGCTCGGGCAGCATGGCGAAGACGCGCAGCTCGCACGTCGGCAGCCGCGACATGGCTTGGATGTCGAGCAGCGGCCGCAGCGGCTGCTCCGGCATGTCGTACAGTTGCTGGATCCACGGGTTGAGCTGGACGTTGGGGTTGAAGACGCTGTCTTGGAGCTGTGCCCGGGGGGGCGGTTTGTTAGCCTGGTGATGGTGGCGGTGGTGGTGGTGGTGAAGATGAAGATGTGATTTCTTTCAATTTTTCCCCGCGCCCAACGCTGGGTGACCGGTGACTGCTGCACCTGGCCGGCCGTCATCTGGTGTTCAGGCAGGCGGGCAGGCAGGCAGGCAGGCAGGCGGGCAGGCGGGCAGGCGGGCAGGCACTTACTAGATTTGCAGTGATGGCGTAGCATATGCCTCGCAGGAACAGGTCCTTCAGATCCTGACACGCGATGTTACTTATCAGGTACACCAAGCCCTCGGCGTGTCCTCGGGACAGCTTGGCGTTTCGGCCCTGCCATATGTGGCATTCGGACAGGATGTAGGCGGCGCAGAGGGTGTCGGAGCGGTATCTCGACAGCGGGTTGGCGATGGAGCTTTCGAGGGCCTTGAGGCCCGAGGCGTAGAGCTGCAGCGACCGGGGATTCAGCGGCTCCGACGGCGACTGCCGCGTCTCGAGGAGGCTGGTGAAGGCCGCGAGCGAGGCGTCCAGGGCGGGCGAGTAGCCGATGCGCCGCGGCAGCTCCCCAAACACGGACAGCCGAAACGGCTTCAGGTTGTAGCCCTGGTGAGTCGAGGCCAGGAAGTACACGAGCGTGTCGGCGACCCTGTCGTTGGTGTTGCGCAGCGGCGACTTGGGGCCCGGCGAGGCCTCGACAAAGCGACTGACGACGGCGGCGGCGGCGGCGGCAGCGCTCCCCGACGAGGCTGACGGCGACGGCGATGATGACGACGACGACGACGACGACGAGGCGGCGGCGGCGGAGGAGGGGGAGGGGGCGGAGGAGGACTGGTTTATGAATTTAAAGCGCTGCTGGCCGACTCCCACGCAAGCTATGTTCCTTGTCCTACAGCGCGAACATGGCTGTCCGGGCTGCGTGCTATCGCACTAGAAATGTTCAACCCATCGATGTTAGTCCACCGAGGCAGGCGAAGAAATGGGGTGGGAATGGGGGCCGCGATTCTCTCTCCTCATCTCCCTCTCTCTCTCTCACTCTCGCCGTCTTTCCTTCTGCCACTTCTCTCTTTCACCTCGCTCTCGCGCCCTCTGTCTCTTTGGTGTTGTGTACCTTTTTTTTCCATTTACGACACGAGTCGCAGCCGCGGTATGAGCCTATGACTGGCATTGCATTTGTTCGCTTGATCTACCTGCAAGTGACAATGCGGGTTTTTGCATGTTTCTCTATGGCCCATCCGTGTCAAAGACTTGAACCAAATTAACTCGACGGGCGTAGGGTCGCGGTTGAAATGGGGGGGGGGATACGCACAACATGCCACTGACCTGCGGCGGAGTTTACACATAAAACGTTATGATTTGACGGATAAAACGATGGTACTCAAAGCGGAACGTAGCAACTCGATTAATTTTTCTTGTTCTCTCTCTCTCTGTGTGTGTGTGCGTCTGTCTGTCTGTCTGTCTCTCTGTCTGTCTCTCGCGCTCTCTCTCTCTCTCTCTACCTCTGTCCTCCCTTTTCTGGGGATCGTGGCAGGAAGACTTTTGGACAGGCCAGAAAAAGAACAATCACGAAAAATTAGGACGAAAACAAGAAGGGAAAAAAAAAGGAAAAGGAAAAAGAAACAAGACAACCATCTACTGCTCCAGTAATTCTAAATTTCCACACACCGTCGGTCTGGGACAGGTAGCAGCAAGTCGTCGTCGTTGGAGAGCCAAGAAAAGCCCGTGTGGGAAATGGGCTGAGAGGTCCACTGCCGATGCAACCGAGTTGACGTTTTGTCTTCGTAGTCCGATCTGCCCCAACGCCTGCACCGGGTAGCGCATACATACTTCAGTACGTGCATGTCTATGTACTTGGATGAATGTTGTGCTCAAGTGTACGCATGTTCCTCTCGAGCGCCGCTATCATGGCGTGTGGAGCAATACCTGCTTCCCAAGTTCCTAGGTACTTTGCCATCGCACACAAGACAGGACCATGCAAAGTCGCGGGTACAAGAGCCTGGGCGGGGAGTAGAGCGACCACGGCTGTTTCGGGTACTCGACATGGACGGAGGGGAGACACATGCCTGCTACACGCACACCCGACATCCCAGCATTCGCCCGAGCTTTTATCGTTGTAACTTTAACAAGAGGGACGCCAGTTCCATCCCGTTGGTACGGCGTACTACCGGTCTCGCGGTATTGCTAATTAGCAAGTTAATCGCCGGCACCACCCACAAGAAAAGAGGGCCGGGGGGGACCCTCTTGGCTCTTGGGGAGGAAGAAGAGGAAAAGAGATGGACAACGCAACAGGCGGCGCGAGTCTTGCCCCGTTACGGAATCGCCGTGCTTGACCAGTCTTGGGAAAGCCTGCGCGCTTATGCCGTGAAACCCTTGTGGGCATGTGGGCATACGGAGCACGGCGTGGTACTAGCTCGAACTCGTCGGGTTGTTCTGGTTAGTTTTTGCGGCGGAGCGGCATAATCCGGTAATCCACAGAGAACATCTCGCGATTAGTAATGTCGATGAACCGCTCATCCCAGCAGCGGCAAGCAGCCGACTCGGTCTGGGTCTTTCGATGACTCGTACGGCGGCGAGTGCCATGTTTCGGGGTCGAGGCCGGCAACGACGACGGCAAACAGCAGCAGCAGCAGCAGCAGCAGCAGCAAGCCATGGCCCAGCCCGAGAACCAGCCATGTTCCGTACATACAACACACGACGAGACGTCATGTGCCGTCTTCACCCTCCCTGCCTGGCAAGTTGAAGACCCTTGCCTGGCCGCCCTCTACTCAGCATGCAAGACAAGTGCCATGCCCCCTTCAACAAATGTCCCCTCCACGTTGGCCCAAGTCCCGCGGTGGAGCCGCCGACCCTTCCCATGTTCCCTTGACCTCGCCCGACCTCGCTGTGAATGCTACCCTCCAGCTCCTGGCCTGCTGTCTCTGACGAGCCGAACCTGCCCATCAATTCCTCACTTGGCGGCGCAAAAGGCGACAAATCCTTCCGTTGTCCAGAAGCAGCCTTCGTCGTCATTATCATCGCCGTCATCAAGCTGCGTACTTGCAATCGCGAACAGGGCCGTGGATTTCCCGGCGCGCATGAGCGAGTCAGTCGGAGACGCGCCGCGCCGCGCACCGAGGTCGAAAGGGAACACATGTGCACAATGGGAGGTAGAATAATAGTGATGGCGCCAGAGAGGGCTGTGAAAAGGGGCAAACAAAGCATGCATGCATGCGCTCTCCCTCTCCTCGATTCTGCCTGTCTTTCTCTGTCTCTCTATAAGCCCAGCAGCCCAGCCCCCCCC